TTGTGACCCTTCTGTGAGGGGATGTCCAATTGTCTACAGATGGGTTTGGGTCTCCATTCTGACCCTCCTCATTCACATCAAAAGGGTTGTTTGTTTGGGGTCTTCTGATATCTGATTCCGTCACACGGGTTGGTGTGCTTCTTCCATGTGAGCTTTGCTGCTTCCCTGCTAGATGGCTGCTTACTTAACTTCAAGCCTTAAGACCCCAGATGCTATTATCTTGTAACAGCTGGGCATCATCCGCTTTCTTCACCACATTAACTAATGCACCCATTTTTATTCTTCAATGATTGTGTTGGGAATGTGAGCATCACTGGTTATTAGAACAAAATTTTCGTCCATTAAGGGAGGACTTGAGTATCACTCTTTTTTAATGGCTAAGTACTATTACGTTATAAGGATAGGTCACATTTGTTCATCCATTCATCAGCTGACAGACTTTGGGGCATTATGGATAATGCTGCTATGAACATTCTTGTATGAGTTTTTGTATGAACATACAATTTCATTTTCTTGGATATATAGCTAGGAGTGAAATTGCTGGGTCATGCGCTAACTCTGTTAGTAACTTTCTAGGGAAGTTCCCGTTTTCCAAATGGCTGCACCATTTTACTGTACATTATATCAGCAGTGTCGAGGGCATGATTCCAATTCTATACTTTCTCACCAATACTTTATTATTATTATTTTCGCCAACCCAAGTGGCTGTGAAGTGGTAATCTCATTGTGATTGTTATTTGCATTTCCCTAATGCACAGCAGGAGAAGCCCTGGTGGCACAGTGGTTGCACATTGGGTTTCTAAACAAGGTCAGCAGGTCAAAACCAGCCCTTCCATGAAAAACAGAACCTTCTACTTCCATAAATAGATACAGTCTCAGAATCTCACAGGGGCAGTTCTACTCTGTCTTTTAAAGTCACTAAGAGTCAGCATGAACTTGAAGATAGTGAAGTTCTTTGTTTGTTGTTTAATGCACAGTAATGCTGTTCAGCATCTTTTCATGTGTTTACTGGCCATTTGTATATCTTCTTTGGAAAGATATCTATTCAGATCATTTGTCCACTTTTAATTGGGTTATTTACTTTTTATTGTGTTGTATAAGATGTGAAGATATTTATCCATGTTCCATGGGTTGTCTTTGCACTTTTTTTTTTAAATACTTTTTTTGGAGGCCCTTACACCTCTTAGCATAATCCATATATTCACCCAGCGTGTCAAGCACATTTGCACACATGCTGCCATCATCATTCTCAAGCATTCTCTTCCCACTGGAGCCCTTGATATCAACTCCCCTTCACCCCCCTCCCCTGCGCACCCCCCCTCACGAACCCTTGATATTATTATAATAATAGATTATTATTTTCATATCTTATATCGTCTTCCATCACGCCTCACCCACTTTTCCATTGTTCATCCCCCTGGGCGGGGGTTATAGATTGATCCTTGTGATTGAGTCCCTCTTTTTTCTCCCGCCCTCCCCTAATCCTCCTGGTTATCTCTACTCTCATTGTTGGCCCTGGGGGGGTTATCTATCCTGCATTCCCTGTGTTTAGGGCTCTTGTTTGTAGCTGTGTGCATGTTCTGGTCTAATCCTATTTGTAAGGTAGAATTGAGGTCATGATAGCGGCAGGAAGGAAGCACCAAAGAACTAGAGGAAAGCTGTGTGTTTCATTGGTGCTATACTGCACCCTGATTGGCTCATTTCTTCCCTGTGACCCCTCTGTAGGGGAATGTCCAACTGTCTATAGATGGGCATTAGGTCTCCACTCTATGCCCCCACCACCACCCAATTCACCTTAGGTATGATTTTGTTCTTGGTCCTAGATGCCTGTTGCCTGATCCCATCGACACCTCATGATCACACAAGCTGGTGTGCTTCTTCCATGTGGGCTTTGTTGCTTCTCAGCTAGATGACTACTTGTTTATCTTCGAGCCTTTAAGAACCCAGATGCTATATCTTCTGATAGCCGGGCACCATCAGCTTTCTTCGCCATGTTTACTTATGCACCCATTTGTCCTTAGCGATTGTGTTGGGTAGGTGAGCATCAGAGTGCCCAATTGTTAGAACAAAGTGTTCTTGTGTGGATGGAGGATTTGAGCCCAGGCTCCTTGCAATTTATTAATTTTGCTTAAGTCTAATTTCTCTATCTTTTGTTGAGATGTTGGTGTTAGAACTGAACATGCTTTACCTAAATTGCAGTCATGAAAATCCACTCCCAGTCTTAAGTCTATAATTCATTTTTGTCAATTTTTGTGTCTGATGGGAGTAAAACCCTAAGTTCTTGCCTCAATGCTTGTCTTTTAGCTGGGAATCTGCTTGGCCACTCCATTTTTCACGCAAACAGCAAACAAAAGATACGGAGAGGGCCTTTAACAAGACGTAGACACTGACAGAATCCACCTCTGGGCAGATGTCCCTATATTCCTATCGACGTAAGTCGGTATCTGATTTTGATTTTAGTCTGCGCACAGACTTTCGAAAGTATCTCAATGTGCCAAAATGGAATTTGCATGTTGAAAGCAGCTCCACTCGGTATGAAAGAGATTATACAAATTAACTTGCCCCATGTAGTAATCAAATTATAAAAGGGCAGGTTTGAGGAAACAACCTAATTGGCAAAAGCAAGCCTAGCCCCAGCAATTAGAGAACACCACCCACACAGCCTGGACAGACCCCACCTGGCTGCCTGCCTCTACCACGAAAAGCCAAAACTATCAAACCATTTTCTAAATGGAATAAAACATTCCAGCACAAGCAATAATTAGGAGATAACTACCCTCTTGGCTGCTTTCTGCACTTGATCTCTGGCCCCCTGCCTTCCAGCACACCTGAGACATTGCAATTAACTCACCCCCACCCCACTCCAGGAGCACACGCCCACATGCACCCTGTGGCCCTTCTGCCAGGACCCTCCAACACCATCCCAATTTGGGTTCACCCTCTTGTCTAGAGAGACCACACAACCCAAAGCCACGTGATTATCTCTACCTCTCAGGCACCTGGCCATTTACTTGTTAGCCTTTCCTGCTGAAAGCCCTCCTAGAACTGTGAAACCAGATACAAAAAGGTAACGATGAAATATGCAATTTTCCTCTAGTTCTTAAATGCTTCCTCCCCCCTACTACCATGATCCCAATTCTACCTTACATATCCGGCTGGACTGGAGGATGTACACTGCCACAGATAGGAACTGGAGATACAGTGAACCCAGGACAGATGAACCACCCAGGACCAGTGGAGAGAGTGGCGATAGCTGGAGGGTGGAGGGAAGGAGAGGGAGAAAGGGGGAACAGATGACAAGGT